GATGGGCCAGCTCGAACCGGGGTGGTACCACGACCTCACAGAATACCAGCGTGAAGTAGAGGTTTACCTCTGCGTTGCGTTTGGTGAGTGCAGGTGGCCGGAGGCCCAATTCCCCCCCCCCCCCCATCAACATGGTAGTGGAATTAAATACAAGACTACCCCAGGAGGGTACCAGCAACCCTGGAGAATCCCTCGCTGAGCATCCACGAACAAACTACTTCACTCCTGAGCGTGGGTGCTCAGGCTGCCCCGCGTATTCTGGGGGGGGCAAAATTCCGCTCGTGACTAATGCTGCTCGGGGCAAGCGGAGCAATACAACCAAGGCGACCCCTGTCACGCTATCCGTGAATTTTTGCAACATCAGGGGACTTCATTCCAAACTTAACGCTGTCCATTACCATCTAGAGACGGCGAAGCCGGCCTTGCTCTTTTTAACCGAGACTCAGGTGTCCTCTCCGGCTGATACTTCATATCTCTCCTACCCGGGGTACAAATTGGAACACTCCTTTGTGCCCCGGGCTGGAGTTTGTGTATACGTCAGAGAGGACATCTGTTTTCGACGCCTCGGCAGCCTTGAAGGTACGGACCTGTCCATCCTATGGCTGCGCGTAGACAGCGACGACCATCCCCGCGTCTACGGGTGCCTCTATAGGTCCCATAGCGGTAATGCCGACACAGACCGACTCATCGACCACGTCCAAATGGCTGCAGACTCCGTGCTACAACAGGTCCCATCCGCAGAGATCGTGATACTCGGTGATTTCAACGCCCACCACGCTGAATGGCTTGGTTCTCGTTCAACCGATCATGCGGGTAGATCTGTCTACGACTTTGCTTTGGCATATGGTCTAACACAACTGGTTACTTCGCCTACGCGGATCCCAGATGTGGAAGACCATGTACCTTCCCTGTTGGACCTTCTGCTGACCTCTCATCCGGACGGATATCAGGTCTCCGTCGATGCCCCTCTGGGCTCTTCGGACCATTGTCTGATCCGGAGCACAGTGCCACTCACGCTCCAATCGCAGTTGCGATCTACAGCTTGCCGCCGTGTTTGGCACTATAGGTCAGCTGATTGGGACGGGATGCGGTCTTTTTTTGCATCCTACCCTTGGGGGCGGGTTTGCTTCTCGCCGGAAGATCCCAGCGTTGTTGCCGATTCTGTTGCTGATGTGGTACTTCAGGGTATGGAACTTTTTATTCCATCCTCTGTGGTGCCCATCGGAGGCAGATCCCAGCCATGGTTTGGTCGCTCCTGTAAAATAGCATCACGCTATAAGCAGGAGTGCTACCGGGCCTGGGCTGACGCATCAACGTCTCGGGATTTAAACACCAGCGCACTTAAAAAGAAGTATAATTCCGCCTCCAGGTCCTTCAAAAGCGTCATTGCTAAGGCAAGGTCTGAGCACATCGGCAGAATTGGCGAGAAGCTAGTTCGCCTTCCTTCGGGAACCCGTGCATTCTGGTCTCTCGCCAAGGCTGTCCAAGGGAACTTCTGTCAGCCATCCCTCCCATCTCTGCACAGAGAGGACGACTCACTGGCCCATGCCGCAAAAGAGAAAGCCGATCTGTTGTGCTCTCTTTTTGCGTCCAACTCGACTCTAGATGACGGGGGGAACACACCGCCGACCATCCCGCGATGTGAGTGCTCCATGCCGGATGTGCGATTTACACAGCGCTCGGTTCGCAAAGCACTTTTCTCCCTGGACGTCAGCAAGTCGAGTGGGCCCGATGGAGTCCCTCCCATTGTGCTGAAGACGTGTGCTCCGGAGTTGGCACCGGTTTTAACGCGTCTTTTCCGGTACTCCTACTCCCAAGGCGTAGTCCCGAATTCATGGAAGACAGCTTTGGTCCACCCGATCCCTAAAAAAGGCGACCGCTCAGACCCGTCCAACTACAGGCCTATCGCCATCACCTCCTTGTTCTCCAAAATAATGGAATCCATTATAAACTGCCAGCTCATGAGGTACCTTGAGGATCACCAGCTGATCAGTGACCGTCAGTACGGTTTTCGTCGGGGTCGATCAGCAGGTGATCTTTTAGTTTACTTAACTCATAGATGGGCGGAGGCAGTAGAGTCCAAGGGGGAGGCATTGGCCGTTAGTTTGGACATAGCGAAGGCCTTCGATCGGGTCTGGCACAAGGCGCTTCTTTCGAAGCTTCCTTCCTATGGGCTTCCTGAGAAATTGTGCAAATGGATCACCAGTTTCCTTGCTGATCGGAGCATTAAGGTCGTAGTAGACGGTGCATGCTCTGATTACAAGCCTATCAACGCTGGTGTTCCACAAGGCTGCGTGCTATCACCAACGCTGTTTCTCCTGCATATCAATGATATGTTGCTAACTGGTAGCATTCATTGCTATGCAGACGACAGCACTGGGGATGCCTTATATACCGGCCGTGCCAATATTTCTCGGGAAAACGTCGCCGAGTACCGGGACAAACTTGTGTCTGAAGTCGAGTCTTTGCTTAACAAAGTCTCGGATTGGGGCCGACTAAATCTAGTCCAGTTCAATCCCCAGAAGACACAAGTTTGCGCGTTTACCGCTAAAAAGAACCCCTTTGTCGTATCTCCTCAGTTTCAAGGCACTCCCCTTGCTGCCTCAGCCAGTATCGGAATCCTTGGCGTCGACATATCGAATAGCGTGCAGTTTCGTGGTCACTTGGAAGGGAAGGCCAAATTGGCCTCTAAAAAGCTTGGCGTGCTCAGCAGAGCGAGACAGTATTTCATGCCGGCACATCGCTTGCAACTTTACAAAGCGCAAGTTCGGCCTCACATGGAATACTGTTCTCATCTCTGGGCCGGGGCACCCCAGTGCCAGCTCCTTCCACTTGACCGCATCCAGCGCAGAGCGATTCGAATCGTCGACGACCGAGTTCTTTCCGATCGGCTCGATACACTGGCACTGCGTAGAGATGTTGCATCTCTTTGCGTATTTTATCGCATCTATCACGGGGAGTGCTCTGAGGAATTGTTCGGACTAATTCCAGCCGCTCAATTTCACCATCGCACGTCGCGACAAAACTCGCGTTACCATCCATACCATCTGGATGATTGGCGGTCCACCACTGTGCGATTTAGAAGAAGTTTTCTCCCTCGCACAACTTCTTTGTGGAATCAATTACCACCAGCGAATTTTCCGAACCGATACGACTTAGGAACCTTCAAGAAAAGAGCTTACACCTTTCTAAAAGGCCGGCAACGCATCTGCAATTCCCCTGGTGTTGCGGTTGTTCATGGGCGGCGGTAGTCACTTAACATCAGGTGAGCCGCATGCTCGTTTGCCCCCTATTCTATAAAAAAAAAAAAAAAAAATTCAAACAACCTTTTAGTATTCAGCACTCACTGAAATCAACTTTACGTACGTATTAGGTCCTCATTATTAGTCTGGAAAAGTCCAAGGTAGGCTTAGCATAACCAAACAAAGATGTCTAATTACGGTTTTGTAATGTGAAAAAAGGATAGTGCTATTTTGACATAAACTGGGGAATTTACTGACAGGTAAAGAGGGTTACTAATATGTATTTTCTTCAGGATTTGATAAATATCACTAAAAGTCATCAAATAATTTTTCAGTGATTTTCTTTTTCAGAATATCACTATCTATCTCCAAAAATTCACTAAAACTAGTGACAAAATCATTAAAGTGGCAACTTAGTGGTCGCCGTTGCATATCATTATCAAATAGCGCAGAAGAACTGAATACTTTAACGCAGTCATCATCATCAGCGAATGAAAATAATATTTCGCTTGATCCGTTGCAGTCATCTACATCGGAGGTTGAGCTTCCTCAAAAAAAATTGAGGAAAACTCAAACCCACCTGGCCGTGTCGAAGAAGACTACGCAAAAATTTGGTGACAGTGCCTTGATTAATATGATCATTAAAGATTATCAACCTTTCCAAATAGTGGAGATTGATGGCTTTAAGCAATATACAAAAGCATTAAATTCTGATTATGAACTTCCTACTAGAAAAAAATTAGTACTGATGATAGATGAAAAGAATAAGTTTGAATACAAATCTATGAAGAATGAATTGGAGTAAATTTACTATTTAGCGTTGACGTCTGATATCTGGTCTTCAGATAGTAGCAAAAGCTTCATAAGTGTGACAGCACATTATATAGAACAAACAAAATTGAAATCAGTAGTTATTTCTACTTCAGAAATAAAAGAGAACCACACTGCTGAAAATATTGCGATTGCTATTCAGAAAGTAATGGACCAGTGGCAAATAAGTTCAAAAGTAATAACTATTGTCACAGATAACGCTGCAACAACGAAAAAAGCAGTAAGTGAATGTTTGAATAAGCGAAATCATTTTTGTGTTGCTCATACACTTAATCTCGCGGTCAAAGACTGTATAGAGAAAGAAACATTTGATTTGCATGAGAATGCTACTGTTGCCACTAACAGTCAGTTATTACAACTTTTAGCCAAATGTCGAGCAATTGTTTCGCATTTTAAATATAGCACGAAATCTTCCTATGCCTTACTTAACATGCAAGAGCAACTGAAAGTTGACACATTAAAACTCAAGCAAGATGTTCGTACTCGCTGGAACAGTACTTTCTATATGCTTGAGCGTCTATTGAAAATTAAGGTATCGCTTTCTGCTACATTACCGCTACTAGAATCACCTCCGCCAAATCTGGAGTCTAATGAGTGGTTATTGACAGAAGATGTGACGGCAATTTTACGTCCTTTCGAAAAGGTGACTACAATTTTATCAGGAGAACAATACCCAACCCTGCCTTCTGTTATTCCTCTTGTATTTGGACTACGAAGGGCCATTAACAGCAAGACGCCTGTGACGGAATTAGGCATGTGTTTAAAACGTAGTCTTGTTGCTGTGATAGAAAAACGACTTGGGGTGTATGAAACTAATAGGACAGCTGCAAAAGCTACCTTTCTTGATCCACGGTTTAAAAAAAAGATTTTTCATTAGAAAGTAATGCTAATAATGCGCAAATGTGGATTATAAATGAGATAACAAACATGAACAGTGAAGAAGACCTACCTCCTCCTAGTTCAAATAGTTCCAGTACTCCCATTGCTTTTGCTGCTCATGATATTGATTCTGGAAAAGACGAAATTTGGGGAGTTGTAGATCAAACTAACGAAAATTATGGAGAGCAGTGGTGAGTCAACTCCATACACTTCGGCAGACATGATGGTTAAACAATATATTGAATTGCCATATCTTGACAGAACATGCGACCCACTTCAGTTTTGGAACGAAAAGAAATGTTTATATCCAGTGTTATTTAAAATTGCGCATAAATATCTTTGTATCCCAGCAACATCAGTTCCTTCAGAGTGCTTATTTTCAAAAACCGGGATTTTGTGCAATGATAGAAGAAACCGTCTAGCACCTAAAAAAGTTGACCAAATTCTATTCCTCAATAGCATTCAATAATTGTTTGTCTCCTTTATTTTTCAACAAGTACTGATTACACTTTTATTTATCTTTAGTTTTTTTACTAAACATAATTTTTATTGACTTTCAAGAAGATCATCATCATCATCATTACAGCCCTTCACAAGTCCACTGCTGAATATAGACCTCCCCCAAGGAATGCCACAAAGCACGGTCCTGAGCCACCTGCATCCATCGACTTCCTGCACATCTCACCAGGTCGTCACTCCATCTAGTGGGGGGACGCCCAACACTTCGCCTGCCGGTACGAGGCTGCCACTCGAGAAACTTTTTTTCCCCATCGGTTGTCGGTTCTTCGAGCTATATGGCCGGCCCATTGCCACTTCAGCTTACTAATCCGTTGGGCTATGTCGGTCACTCTGGTTCTACTGCGGATATCCTCATTTCTGAGTTTATCACCCAGAGAAACTCCGAGCATAGCTCTCTCCATAGCTCGCTGAGCGACCTTGAGCTTCCTCATCCGGCCAGCAGTGAAGGACCATGTCTCAGTTCCGTATGTCATCACTGGCAACACGCACTGGTTGTACAGTCTCGTTTTCAAGTTTTGATGTATACCTGACGAGAAGATGTGCCGTAATTTCCCGAACGCTGCCCAACCGAGTTGAATCCGTCGATTGACCTCTCGGTCGAAGTTGGATTTACCTAGTCGGACTATTTGTCCCAGATCGTCAAACATACCAAACATACTCGTCAACAACTTCGAGCTTAGTGCTCCCAACAACTACCGGCATAGGTGTGACATGGACATTAAACATGATCTTTGTTTTGTCCATGTTCATCTTAAGACCATAAAATATTAAATTATTTATATGTTAACTTATTAGAAGTTATGATTAGTTATCTATACATATAATAAAAATGTAAATAGCAGATGTTTGTACATTTTATATTTTTGTAATAAAAGTGATTGAGAGATACTAAAAATAAGTAATTAAATACATTTCTACCATTTTTAGATTTTTCTGTCTGTCTGTCTGTCTGTTTGTTTGTTAAGGTATCACCTATAAAGTACTAATTTATATCATAAGAATAGTTAAGGAAATTATTAAGTGTATATTCAGGTTACATTTAGTCTTTATTTCATTAAAATTGGTTAATTCCATCAAAAGTTATGACAAATATTCTGAAGTATGGGTACTAAGTATAGGTACGAATTTGTTCAATAGTGGCGTTAGACGTGTCATCAAGTACATTTTAAAATTAATATCATATTATAAATCATAATTAAATGATGTAAAATAATGTTCTATAATGATATAATTATATCTAAAACGCAGTAAACAAAAGTATTACATAAAGAACGTAATAAATATATACAAAATATATTAACCTTATTATCTAAACTAAATTAAAGTACAATAGTTAACCAATTTCATCGATAGATGGTGGTGTGGCACAAATGTGATACAAAAAGGCAGGTAAAATTTTTTTCCTGTAGATGAGTTTCATATTTGCTTCTAACCTTTATATTAACGACACGCTGTCCGCAGTGCGCAGTACGCAGTACGCAGCCCTACTGCATGTTGACAATCTTATTAATTTTTTATTTTTTTACCGCCGAGTACTCTATGTGGTAAATCAAATTTTAAGAGCTATTAAGAATTCCGTTTTTCGGCGAAGATCAAACTTTCTTTTTTGCTTGCTATGCAGGCACTGATTTATAAGTTCTTTTATGTTTTTTATTGTATCAATCGTGTCAATTAATCTCTTATTTTTAGAATTGATGTTAACAGCGCCCTCTCTCTTTAAATCTATACATATAATAAAAATGGTAATAACATGTTGTGTCTGTTTCGGAATATTGTATAGTATATTAATTTGTGACTAAAATCATTATGGGGTCTGTAAATCATTAAATAAGTACATTTTTATAATTTTTAGAATTGTACTATCTGACGGTCTGTCTGTTTGTTTATGGACGCATGACGTTTTGAGTAAACATCTTTTTTTCAATGAAATCCTTAAGAAAATCATAAAGCGTATTATCAAGTTCATTTAATCTTTGTTTTATTGAAATTGGTTAATTCTATCGAAAGTTATGATTATTATTTTGAAATGTAGGTTCGAATTTGTTTAATGGCACCACAAAATCTCGGAAATAGTAATAAAAAGGTGTGTGGGTAGGTGCAATAAGTACATTGCTTTAGTAAAGTCTCCCAATTTAATAAAGTTTTTAATATATAAAACATTACAATTGTGTTGTTACTACATGGGAAACTAATGTACTAACCATTATACCTGCCAGGCAGTAAAATCCTTACTGTTTACAAACTTAGTCAATAAAAATCAGTCTCACAATTTTCTTCCATTATCACTACACAAGATTTTTCCAAAATGGATGCCATTCAAGAGTCAATAACACAACTCCAGAAGATGTTTACTCAGCGCATGGATATCTATCAAAGTGAGCTTCATGCTGCAGCACCATCAGCCTCCATTGCCAATTTGACATCCGAGTTCTCCTCATTCAGATTATTTATCATGACAGCCCTACGCAATCTTCAAGACCAGGTAGGCCTGTTGATGCACCAGGTGGATAATATGGAGATGCGGAGCCGGCGGAAGATTCTATTACTTCATGGGATTCCGGAGGAAAAGAACGAGGACACTGTACAGGTATTAGTGAAGACTTTTGTTGACCGTTTCAGGTTGTCTGGTTTCTCGGATAAAGATATATCTCGCTGCCATCGCATGGGCCATACCTCTTCTTCTGACAAACCAAGACCAATCTTGTTTAAGTTGTGTGAGTTGGAGGTGAAGAACAAGATCTGGCAAGCTAAGACGTGTTTGAAGGGGACTGGTATCACTCTGTCGGAGTTTTTAACTAAGACTCGACATGAAGCTTTTATGGCAGCTCGGCGGAAATATGGAATATCGAATTGCTGGACACGTGAAGGCTTTGTTTTTGTACTGGGTAGCGGTGGCGTTTGACATCGCCTTAGCTCGGTGATCGAACTTGATAAAATCGTTGAGCCTTCTGTGCCGAAGTCGAAGACAAGTACCGCGGTCAGGGATCCAGCTGGAGCTTCCAAAAGTCGACGTACTGGCACCGCAGGCAAGAGATAGTGTCTTCACGTTAACTTAGTGTTTAATTACCACAATTTATTTGTATTTTTGTGTAGTCTCCATTTGCATAGTGTTGCATCTCTTTAATTTTGTGTGTTAACTGTAACATCGTAGTTCGTAGTTATCTCTAATATTATAATAATTTACCTTCATAATTTTTTAAGATTTGGCTAGGGGAAACGAAAGAATTGTTGTATGTGGTGATTTGAATGGATGGGTTGGTACCGCTCGACCAGGGTACGAGTCGGTACTTGGAAAGTTTGGCGATAAAAGGGTTAATGATGCTGGCAAGCTTATACTGGCGGTGTGCAAGGAAAAGGGTCTTCTTGTGACAAACACTATGTTTAATCACAAGAAAATCCATATGTATACTAGAGAACGAAAGAATGAGAGAAGTATAATTGATTTGTTCCTGGTGGATGACCTACTGCGAAAACAGGTGATGGATACGCGAGTGTTCAGGGGTGCTGACCTGGGAACGGATCACTATCTAGTGATTACTAGATTTAGGGGTCTGTTCGCGGGTTGGCGCTACCGGACGGCAGTAACAGAACCACAGTCGGTCTGTCGCATCCGAAGCTGGAAGCTTCAGGAAGCGGATACTAGGGACAAATATCATGCGAGGGTAGCCGAAAAGCTTGACACCATCGATGGCAGAAAAGAATGTGTAGAAAGAACTTGGCAGAACCTTAGGGATGGAATGGTAAGTGCAGCGGAAGAAGTGTGTGGAACAATAAAAAGAGGCAGTAGTAAAAGAAGAGATGCATGGTGGAATGATGAAGTGAAAGAAGCTGTAAAGAAGAAGAAGAAAGCATGGTTAGACTACTTGGCCTCTAGTAATGATAAGGATATGAGAGAGAAGATGAAAGAAAGATATAGGCTGCAGAAAGTTCACACGAAAGCACTGATTGAGGAAGTGCGTGAAAGGTGTAGAATGGAAGCGGACGAAAGGTTGTCGCACAACTTCAAGGAGAACTCCAAACTCTTCTGGAAAGAGGTTGGAAGGACCCGAAGTGGTGCGACGGCCTTAAGAATGAACAAAGTGCTTTCGAGAACTAATGACGTCCTCTCAGAAAAATCGGACGTCATGCAGCGATGGAGCGAATTTTATAGAGAAATGTATGCGTGTGATGATCTTAGTGAGGGATCCGGGGATGACGCCGTGACTGGTACGCCAGACCCGGACCTCGATGACACTGAGGTCATCAGGATGAAAGAGATTGAACGTGTGATTCGAAGTTTGAAATGTGGTAAGGCTGCGGGACTAGACAGAGTTACTGCTGAAATAGTCAAGTATGGTGGGCCTCGCGTCTGGGACAGCTTTCATCTGCTGTGCAATTTGTGCTGGCGGACGGGGGATGTCCCGGATGATTGGCGATCCGCAGTCATTGTGCCTTTATATAAAGGTAAAGGTTCACATTTTGACTGCGGGTGCTATCGGGCGATCAGCTTGACCAGTTTAGCAAGTAAAGTTTACTCGAAGGTTTTGACACGTAGGATGCAAGAGAAATCGGAAAGATTTCTATGGGAGGCACAATGCGGATTTAGACCTGGAAGAGGATGCACGGATCAAATGTTTTCTCTCCGCATGATCACGGAGAAGCTTCTGGCTACTAACCAGAAGATTTTCTGTGCTTTTGTGGATCTTGAGAAAGCATTTGATAAGGTTGTAAGGAAGAAAATGTGGGAACTGTTGCCGGGGTATGGTGTGGATGGTCGATTGCTAAGGGCTGTGCAGTCTCTTTACTGTGAATGTAAAGCCTGTGTGCGGGTAGGGCATGACCTGTCACCCATGTTTAACGTCCAAACGGGCGTAAAGCAGGGTTGTGTCATGTCTTCCTGGCTGTTCATACTGTATCTCGACAGCTGTTTACAGAAGCTGAAAGATAGTTGTTTGGGTGTGAAATTGGGTG